ATGATAGTTCAGTAAAACCATCAAAACTAGTCTTGTGATAATTTGAATATATAATGCTGATTCTTGTTGTTTCAATTCTAAATTAATACTTGTTCGGCATGTTATTGTATCTTAATCAGTGTCATGATGTTTTAAATGATCTGTCCAGTTATTCGAAAATATAATGATATCATCTAAGTAGCATGTGATCTATGTCTGGTCAAAAGTTGTTTCTCTGTATGCTGAAATGTAATTGCAGCATTCTTCAAACTAGACTGCATAATTTTGAAAGAGTGCTGCCTCAATGAGTTTCAAAAGATGTTAAATATTTCGATTCGGGATTCATTTTAATCGGCCAGTAACGTTTTAATGAGCTATGAACTTGGAGCTGGCTACTCAGTAAATTAAACCTGTGTCAGTCATCATAGGAAATGCATCTAGATTAGTTTTAGAATGAAATGCAAGTGTCACAGAAATTTTGGACATCTTTTTTTATACTTACCCAATAAAATGAATATTTTAATAATTTTAAACAGAATTCGTACGGTTCTTAAAGAGTCCTTAAAAGTCCTTAGGATTTTTGGTCCTTTAAAATTCCTTAATTTCAAACAAATTCAGCAGGAGGTCCTTAATTTTAATCATCTGAAATTTCTGTCTGTTTTTATGACTAGTATTTTGAACAAATATTTTTGGCAATTCATTGACAAATATAATTATCTTTTGAATGGGTGAATAGGTTCATGGATTATAGTTTGTTTTTATTTATAATATAAATGGTGGGTTATATTATACTGTGGGTTTCTGAGAAGTGAAACATAAGCATTTTGAAATTATTTAATTTCTTCTAATGAAGAGCTCTTAAACAAATTTTAACTTTTGGGAATGTGAATTCTTTATTAAACAGCTCCAAATTTGGCAACCTATCAACATTTTGGCAATTCTAAGATCAGTTTCTATAGAAAATTTTTAATTCAGAAATCCAGGAATTTTTCAAGAATATTTTTTTCTAACATTGATCAATTTTTGTTAAAATAATGCTAATATATTGAAACTGTATTCAAAAAATAACTTTAAAATCAAACATTTTTATTTTTCACTATCATATTATAAAGTGACATTACTTTCTATTTTGGCTACTACTTATACAATATTTTGAATCTGAAAAATAAAGAATGTAATAAATGCTTATATTGTGCTTTATCACAATTTACAAAACAATTCTTAACAAAAGTAAAATAGCTATGTAATTAATTAAAAATGCCCTCATTTTAATTTTTTCATGGTTAGAGTTTTTTCCATGTAATTGTCTCATGTGCATCAGTTTTCACTATAAAATTAATTTTACACTTTTTTCCTCTGATTTTTTTGCACAAAATATGTCTGGCTTTTTGCTGTTGCTGTTACAGAATCGGTAGCGGTAATTTTTTATTTATTTATTTATTTATTTTTAAGAATTTCAGACATTGCAGCTTGGAAAGTTTAGAAGGATTTGAAGGCAAGATGTATATGTGTCAATACGTCATGCATCAATCATACACAGGGCTGGCACTACACATTTTCCCACCTGATGCAATATCTGCGGATCCTAAATTCTGCTGCCTACTGCCTTTCTAAATTCTAAAATTCTGCCATTTCTAGTTTTGTTGCTCTGTGTGTCACTAAATTCTAAAAATTCTGCTACACCAGCTCTATAAGCGGCCCTTACCGTGTATTATTTCATATTTATTCTGATTGTTCATATTACTAAAAAAAATTAAGTTAGCACCTTTTCCTATACATTCTAAATGCAGAAGAAACGTATTGAAGAAAGAAACTGAATACATAAAGAGAAAAAGAATTATTCTTCAAATATATGTACAATTATTATTATATAAATTAAAGCTGTTGTTTATAATTTTCTGTTTCCTCACCAGTGGCGTAAATAAGGGTATGCAAGGAATGCCGTGGCATAGGGGCCCGAAGGGTTAAGATGCCCTTTACTATCCTGCTGAATGACATTTATATGTCGCAGATAGGGGGTCCTTGTAAGTAGATATAACAGCTGAATTCTGCGTAAAAAAAAAAAAAAAAAAAAATGGGCTATATGCTTTAGTTTTGATTCCTCTTTATTTCTTCATTAGCTATAACCGAGGCCAGACTGTTGTTCGGGTTTATTGTGAGAACAAGTTCTGAATTTGTTGAGGCGAGTACGTACAATGGCGCAAAACTTAGAGACAGGAAGTCAGGTTCCCCCTGAAGTTTACCAGAATTCCAGTAATTCCGGTTTCAGGAATGATTATACTGCGCCCCAATGTCAAATTTTTTGTATAAAAAAGAGTCAGGGCCCAGGTAAAAAAGACTTTTTCTGGTCATTGTAGACTTCACACTAGTTTTTGTTTTAAACTTGGTTACGCAATTAATTTATTTACATACATCTCATGATAAAGTTTCATTCCGGGAGAAAATTTTAAAAAAAAAAGATTAAAATCTCAATGTTTTTGTGTGTATATTATATAATTTGAGGAAAAATATCAAAAAAAATATCAAAAGCCTCTTGCTTATATTTAAACTCATAATAAAAATTTTCAATGATGATATTGATATATATTTGTATTAAGATTGAATAATCAATAGATATATTTTTGAAGTATAATCAAAGATTACTAGGCATGATTCTGGTACTTAATTTGGAATGAACTTTGCAAATTAAAAGAGAAATCAGGGTATATTATTTGCTGTTCTCAATTTTCAAAACATATCATTTGGAACATTTAATTTTGTTCATATATTTAATTTGTTACTGGTATTTCCATCAACCATCTCCAAAAAATCAGTCCTAGTATTAAACTTAAAATTAAATTCATCAATATGGAGTGATTTTTACAGTTTAATATCATATACATTGCTTTGGTTCACTTATAAATGGTGTATCCCTTATCATGTATTATTTCATATTTGTTGCCGTCAAATTTTATCGTCCTGTATTATTAAAAAAAAAAAATAAATAATGAAGATTCTGATTATATGAATGTATGTTTCGTGCATTTTTAAAAAACGAAGGTACCTAGAGCCATTAAATATTGAATAACATAGTCCTTCACCCAAACATGTGCACCTGAAAGCCCAAATTTTTATTTTATTATTTATTTCATATTTTGTAAAACTGTAATGATTCTGAAAGGGAGCAGTGGCAATACTGTTCGAAACAGAACACTTTTATCTCAGTGCATGAGAGTGCTGCCAATTGTAAAATGTGTAACATATTTATTCATCTTTTAATTTTAATTAATAAAGTCGTCTCTGTGAAAGCAATGTGTTACCGCTGCTAGAAGTAAAGTTCTTTTATCTTTCTCATGTTAGTGTGTTGCTATTCAGTAAAGCCTAAGATTCTTTCATACTTAATCTAGAAGGTTGCTGAGAAATAAACTAAGTGTTTTAAAAGAAACAAGCACAGTTCTTGAGAACATTTTTTAACTACCTCCTGATGTGATTACTTTAAGTAAACATGCTTAAAATTGTGACATGTTTAATTAGAAGTATTCAAGATTTTTATGAAATTATATTAGCAGACTCATTAAAATCGTTATGCACTTTTTCTTTTTTATGTTAACTATATTATTTTTGCAGCTCCTGCAGCAATTAAAGCCAGAGGATTATGCCTGTTGACTAGATTTTTGAGTCAACACGTAGGAAGCATTGGAGGACGAATATTTCGCCACCAAGTTGATATTCAGCGATGAAGAAAGATTCCAAAATGAATTAATCATTTATGCTAGTCCTGTGTTTTAGCATAAAATCTGCTCTGTGGAGCATAGCAAGATCAATGGTACTTTAAATAATGCCAGATATTTTTTTAAAATGCCTGGCATAATTTATGGCCAGCTACCATATTTCATGGTGAGGGTGATGAAGATTGATAACTGTGAATAGGAAGGTTTTTTGGATATTGCAAACCAACAGTGAAATTTTCCAATTTATAGATTTTGTAAAGAAATATGGAGAAGCGATAATAAATGAAGATGATATAAGAGAAGTTTTTAATTATGATGACAATGCTCCAATCATCAGTCAATTAACGGAAAGCGAAATCTGTAGTATGGTTCTAGGTCCAGAAAGTACTGCTACCGATAGTGAAGAAAGTGACAGAGAGGTTATTGTAAACGAAAAAATTTCAATTGACAAGTTAGTCGGAATTACGATACAGCAAGTACAGGACTTGAGCAGTGGAACTTTGTAACTGAAAACTGAACAAGAAATTATGTCTGTCTATGTAATTTAAGAGAAGGTATTAGCACAAAAAAATGATTCAACTTAAAGCAATTTACATTGAAAGTAATGTAAAATAAAATAAGTCCCCCTTTTTTATGCCCTTTTGATTATAAATGCTTCTTTTTTTCATAAATCACAATTTCATATTTTTAATTTTATAATTTCTACATGACATTTTACTAGATTTAAACTGATGATCTAATTAATATCCGAAAAAATCCCAAATCCAGAATCGCCAATGAGTCCGGATCTCGGACTTTGTACTGTAATATTAATAATACATGTCTTGGATGGATATTCTAAATCAAGGAAAGACTTCAACTTTTTAATTGGTAAAAAAAATACTGCACTTACTCTAGACAATACAAATTATAGATCATTGCAATGCTGAAGGTACAGTGAATAAATCTTTATTAAATCGTAACAGATTTTGTGAATTCATTTCTGGAGTGGGTTACCATTGGTGCATGTTCAAAGAAAAGAGTGGCAGGTGTTCAAAATTTACAATAAAGTTGCAGCCTATATGACAGAGCTGAGGAATTAGCTCTGATTTACACACTGAAATTATAGTAATAAAATCTAACAATAAAATGTGTTTTTTAAAATAGTAGATTCTTACAAAATTCCACTGTAAAACTCAATTAATTGTATAAAATGTGTGATGTATTGTCTTACTGATAATTTCTGGATAAGTTTTTAGCTTTAGCATGGGATGTTTTACAAATTTTATTTCCTGCATATGTTTATTTCTTTTTGAAAACTATCTTTCCCAGGTACGTAGAGATTTAGAAAAACTGTGCCAAGAAAGAGGTATCATACCAATAGATTATGTTCGTCATACATTGTTGGAACAAGCTGGTACGAGTATTATGAATAAAGTTAGGTACGTTAAAAATGCATTCATTTGAATATTTTCCTCTCAGTTCCTCTCTGCTTCTCTTTTTTAGTGGGATACTGATTTTCGGGTGCTGTTTAAAAGTATGCCTTAATTATTTTCATGAAATTTAGGAGAAAAAAATTTATCTTTTATGAAGATGTATATGGTGGTAAAAGAAAATTCATAGAATGTTTTTAGCAAATTAATTTGTTAGATTCTTTATTTTTAAAATTACTCTGATTATTTAAAGTTAACATGAACTATTTCAATTTAAAATTTATCTCCTAGTAAAGTTTTTAAGGCACTTTAACTGCTTCTAATGTATCCAGCAAAAATTAGATTTATGAAATTACTTGGATAAGTGTAAATTGCACTAAATTCTATCTATGGTGACCACCCACAATTCCGAAGTTTTGTCATCAGTGGTAATGGTAATCTTAGAGAAGTTTACAGTCAGTGCTGATAAGTTTAGTTTGAATGGTAATTTACATTTTGAAGATTTTTGGAATAGGCTAAAAGAAAATATTGAAGTAAAAATTTTATATGCAGGTTTATTTACATTATTAATAAAATTATGAATTGATTATACAAATTAATATAAAAAGTGAATTACTTTATACCATATTTTCTAAACTATATTTCCTTTTTAACAAGTGTTTTTTTTTTTAAGTACAGGAGAAAGATATCTTGTGTAAAACAAAAGCAATATTAATAAAATTTGCATAGTAATTTAAAAAGCTCACTACTTATTAAAGTGTTGATCTTCTGTGTTATCTTTATTATCTCTTAATAATTTTAATTGTGTTTTTAACTTAAAACTTTTATTTTTTTATTTACAAATATTTTAACTTGGTGTTAATTAAATAAGATTTTTGAAGTGTTAAAAAAAGGGAGGCTTGCATAGATACTTCAAACTATCAGTTTCGGTATCATTGTCAGCAAATTCAATAACACTAAAAATAAAAAATGAATTGTTATTGTGCCATTTAATGTTGGTTTTTTATACAAAATTACCTAATCAGATAGCAAATGTTAAAGTTAACATAAACAGTATAGAACTGTGATAAATCATTTAAAGAAAGCTGTTTCATTATCCATTACAAGCCTGTGTGACAATCATGTGATACAGAATAGTAACTGTAGTATGTTACTTTAAAATAGGTTCTTCAAAGTTGTTCACTGCACCACTGCATATGAATAATTATAAGCCTAGTCCTGATATTGAAAATGATTATCTGTTTAAATGAGATGAAGTAAATTAAAATATGTGAAAGTTTTTTAATTTAAGTACAGATTTTTAACTGTGGTTAAATGATTTGTGATTAATATAATGAACATTTAAAACATTGATTATTCCATGCTCTTAAATATTTTGTATGTTTTATATATTCCAAATTTAATTTCTAAAATATCTAAATTAATAAAAATGAAGAAGTGAAGTGTTTCTAAATTAAAATTTTAGTTTACTTTGAAAGTAATTACATTTTAATTTTCTCTTCCAGTGAAGTCAATTTGTCTGTGGCAGCCCATGTATCTGACCGAATATTGGATGAAATTATAGAATCATTGTCTAGAAGTCATCGAGAACTGGTGAGAAGGGTTTTACATTGCACACCTATAAGTATATTTGTGAAAGGCGGCTATAGTCTTTATTTCCTTCATGTTGATATTAACAGATACAAAACATGCTTTCAGTCACAGAATTTCTCAAAATAATCTAGAAATCTTCAAAGAAATGTTCCAACCCTATAAGCATTTAATATGTGTAAATGTAGAATCTAAATTTTTATGTCGTTCCCATAACATGAAGTACAGATTTGGTATATAAGTGCCTATTTTACCTGATGTAGAACAAATAATTGTCAAAGTAGGCCTAGTCTGATTAACAGTTGCTATAAATGAGTGTATCTGAGAAATCCCTACTTTTGCTGGGGAACTGGCATTAAGAAAGTATCTGATTCAGTAAATCCATTCTGAAATATCTGAGTTTTGTGCCTAAAAGTATGGAGCACTTTTATATTTAGTTTATTAAAGCATTGTAAATATTTTTATAATTTGTATTTCTGCTGTACTGGGAGCCTATAGAAAGTTAGTTAGTTAGTTTTTAGTCCAAGGGGCTTTGTCTTTGAGGGACTATTGTTTTCATTTTGCGATTTTGTGTCGAATCACCCTGAATGTCCATTTCACTTTTCGTGGCCAACAAATATTATCGCCTTGTATTATATTTGAACAAATTAAATAATGAAGAATCTGTATAAAGCCATATATGTTTCTCGCATTGTGATAAAACAATGGTGGTGCACTACCCAAATTTGAAAAAAAGGGGACAGTTCAATATCTCCCGTTCTACTGGGCTGAATGACGAAATTCAACTTGCATGTTTCATATTTCGAAAGCGTGACTTGGGATATGTATTAGATTTATATATAGCATTGTTCTAATATAGGTATTTTGACACAAAATCGAACTTTTTCTGAAATGCCATGCCAAATTTTTTCATTATTTCGATTCTAGTACTCAATTTATGCCAAATTGCCAAGTTTTCTAAAAATCGCGTGACTACTATTTAAAAGATTAGCTGTCAAATTTTAGCTCCTCAATGTTAATAGAATTTGATATATATTAATTAATATCTCTTATTTTTATTGAACTTATTCGATCCTTCCTTTGATATTTCAAAATTTAGGTTTATTCCAAATAAAATTTGGTATTTTTTTGATTGTTTTTAATCTGTATTTTTAATAATTTTTATAATTTTTTGAAAAAAATTTGAATTATAATCTATAAAATTTTTATCATATCTTAAAGTAGATGTATCTAAGCAATCTGCAAAAAAAAAAAAAACAGTTTTTTATCAAAATTTCCAAAGATAACGTTAATTTATATTTAAGACACAATACAACGCCGAATAAATACTAATTCGAAGTCAAACAACAAATCAGCGTTATATTACAAAATTTTCACAGGACTAGTTTCGATGGTTTACCGACCACCATCTTCAGCTGCAAAACCGCAAATGAACAAGATAGGAATAATGATTAGATAAGATAAAAAGCCTGACAGAATAAGCAAGTGGCGCCATCTGTTGGCGAAACCGAACTAAAACATAATTTCTCTAAAGCCGAAGGCAAATTGGATTGGAATTAGGATTGTTAACTAGAACAGAAGATTTTATGAATGTGAATGCTCTAGAAAATCCAGTTCTCCAATGGAAGAGTTTTTGAATAATTTTAGCAGAAGAAAATTGAAGTGTGATTTTCGGACCAACAACGTGAGCACACAAGACTTCTGTGGTTGCCTTTTTTAACATATGCTCATGTTCTTTAACGTGAAATTTTAGGCCTCTTAGTTGGCCAATGTAAATTACCACACTGGAAGAACATAAATACCCCAGGATTCATATCCGGAATGGGGTCCTTGAGTATAGAAGTCCGAATTTTTGAGGGAGAATAAACAACCCGAAAGTTAAATTTCTGCAAAAATGTGCACTTATACTATTGATGGAAAGAAGGGAATGACAACAGAATTTTTATCTCCTAAAATAAGAGTGTGGCTTGAGTGTTGAGAGAGAATTTTTTACTGTTGATTAATGTTGGGTGAAAGGCCCCTGTCAATAGCTATTGCTTTTAAATAATTTAGTTCTTCACAAGGGCTAGTTTGGAGGAGCAAACTGAAGAGCACGGAAAACTAGGAATAAAATGAGCTAACTTTTGTTAGTCGGATGACATGATTTAAAGTGTGGGGGGGCAAACCGATGAAGGTTTACGGTAAAATGTAGTACTGAAGTTGGATGGTTACGTGTGACCAAGTCGAAAACGGAAGAGAATTGCAAGGCTTAAGTTCAAATGACTGAATAGCAGGATCAATAGAATTCATTTTGAAAGAACTTTATTAATTCAGCTTATTAAAAACAGGGTTAAACCATGCCTAAGTTTAAACAAACAATTTTATTCAAATAATGCAGTAGATATCAGCCAGGATGGGACTGAGGGGGCTTCCCACGCTAATCCCTAGTGCTGTAATATGTATTTTGGAAAAAAGAGACTTTACCGTTTGAAATAAAGATGATTTAAAAATGAACCTATTGATCCGCTTATTCAGTCACTTGAACTTGAGACTTGCAATTCCGTTTCCTTTCGTACCTTCTGTCCACGTTAACCGTATGTTTTCGTCAAAGGCTGCTCCTTCAAACTAGCCTTGATGAAGAACATTATTAAAAAATAGCTATCTTTTCTCAACAAAATATTCTCATCTCAACACAAAAGCCACACTCTTATTGGAGATTATTCCGTTTCCCTTCATCAATTTAAAGTTGATTTTGCAGAATTAACTTTCCGGGTGTTTATCTCCCATCAATAAAATTCGACTTCTTACGCAAGGACCCCATCCGGATATCTTCCTGGGGGTATTTATAGGATTCTTGCCAGTTGGGTTTTACAGTGGCCAAACTAAGAGAGCCTTAAAATTTCAGTCAAAGAACATGAGGCATATGTTAGAAAAAGGAAACACAGAAGTCTTGTGTTGCTCAACGTTGGGGGTCCGAAAATCACACTTTCAATTTTGTTTTCTGCTGCTAAAATTTATTCAAAAAACATCTTCCTTGGAGAACTGGATTTTCTAGAGGCATTTCACATTCATAAAAATCTTTCTGTTCTAGTTAACAATCCTAATTCCAATCCAAAATTTGCCTTCGGCTTTTAGAGAAATTATTTTAGTAGTTCTGGTTTCGCCAACAGATGGCGCCACTTGCTTATTCTTGTCCAGGCTTTCTTATCTTATCTAATCATTATTTCCTATCTTGTTCATTTGCGGTTTTGCAGCTGAAGATGGTGGTTTGGTAAAACCATCGAAACTAGTCCTATGAAAATTTTGTAAATATAACACTGATTTTTGTTGTTTGACTTCTGAATTAGTTAATTTATATGTTTGTGCATTTTGAAATTGGGCATATTTGTTGAAAGCGATGATAATATCAAATGTGGTTGAGGTACTTTGTTAAAATTATTTGAAAGTAGAAACAATGTGAACTTCTGCTCATGCACAATGTAAAAAGCTAGTAACGCTGTGACTTTTTTTCCACTCCTGCACAATTGAAGGGAAAGGAAATTGGGTTGCCATATATTAAGTTCACCAAGTGAAATATTCGTGGCACAAATTGAAAAAAATGCGCTTTAATTTAAAATTTAAAAATTAAACTTTTAAATTTCTTCATAAATTTTTAAATTTCTTCATCAGTTTCGCACTGAATTTTATGAAATTTAATATTTAGGCATAATTTGAGCTCTAGAATCAAAATATGGGAAAAGATTGGTATGTTGTTTCAGGAAAAGTTCAATTTTGTATCAAAATACCTATGTTAAAACAATGCTATATATAAATCTAATACATATCCTAAATCGTGCTTTTGAGACATGAAAAACGCAATTTAAATTTCGTCAATCAGCCCAGTAGAACAGGAGATATAGAACTGCCCCCCTTTTTTTTTCTTTTTTTGCGCAGTGTACACAAGATTTTGTATTATTGTGAAAACCGCTTCTGCATTTAAAAACTACTTAAATTTAGATCATGATTTTACTGGATATCTTGTTGAAATTTTGTTCTTCTTATTTTACTAAGCATTTAAAATATATGCGTTCATATAATAGACTAAAAATATGCATGTGCAATCCTTTCTTTTATCTTTTTTCCATTTCAAAAGGGCTATCGAAAGTCATTTAATTTAATTTACATTAAAAGAAATATTTTTTTATATAATAATTTAAAAAATGTTCTTTATTGCAGAAAATATTGGGAAATGGTGCTTTGAAACTTTCTAAGCAAATAAATGCTTAAGACAGACATTTTGCATTTTTAATTGCCGCCTGTAATCTGTTTATAGGGCATGCCTATAAGATAAACAAAGAAACAACATTTACAGGTAAAATATATGCCTGTTCGTAACATTTTCTGAATATGAGAACTTAATTAAAATTAATATCATTACATGTTCTACAGGATTTTATCAACTAGTTATTATTTAATGAAGTGATGGCCAGCTAATTACCCGTAAGCCACATGCTGCCTGTCAGTTAAATTTTGAGGCTGTGCAGCTGACGAAATTCTTTAACATTGATCTAAATATTTGTGTAAGTAGTTATACTCGTATTAAGTGAGAGGAGCTGCTAATAGTTGTATGTGAGAATCTTGGCTTGCCTGCAGCCACTGTTTTGACATGTAAAATTTCTCTCTTTCTCTTGTTGGCAACTCCAATGCTGGTCTTGAACTGAACAGCATAGAGTAAGTTTGAAGAAGATATAAGCAGGGTCCAGATGACTTGTAATTTTATATTGGATATTTTAATTTAACCCTTCACAAGTGATGATGTTGAATTAATATAAAAGGAACATGGTTTTGTGTTTGTTCAATATTTAGATATTCTAGTGAGATAATTCATCCCGCAGAACCTACATAGCACTTTAATTTAGTTATAAGCAAACTAGCTAAGTTTAGTTGAATCCAAGACAGGTGTTACAATATACCCGATGTAAATCCAAATACATCCAACTGTTAACTAACTTCGATATATATTTTTATTCGAAATATGCAAAAAAATTGGTATGTTATTTCAGAAAAAGACCGATTTTGTGTCAGAATACCTATCTAAGAACATTGCTATGTATAAATCTAATGTATATCTTGAGTCGCGCTTTCGAGACATAAAAAAGGCAATTTGAATTTCGTCAATCGGCCCAGTAGAACGGCAGATATAGAACTTTTTATCTTCCCTCTCCTTTCTTTTTATTTTTCCTTTGCACTGTGTACCTAGAGCCATCAAATTCTGTATGACATAATCCTATTGTGAATATAAGCATCTGGAAGGCCAAAGTTGAAATTTGGAGTTTGTTTTATTATTGATTTCATATTTTGTAAACTTTTAACAAATTTTTGATTAACAAACTCAAGGATTTCAAAGCGAGCAATGGCAATGTTATACAGAAATAACATTTTTATCTCCAGTGCGTGAGACTTTATTTCAGAAATTGTAAAGATATGCTCAATTTATAATTATTTTGGGATATTGCTCTTGAACTGAATTTTATGGTTTAAGTGCGAATAATATAATATTTAATAAATAAAGGTAGCACACAAAATGTTAAAAAAAAATTTCCTTTGGACGTAATTTAAAATCTAAAAACCTTTCAGATTTTCTTCTTCCCCCCCTTACTTACTGAACTTTGCTGAACAGTTTCCATAAAATTTTCTATTTTGACAAGAGAAATTTGGACTTTGTAATAATTGATTGTTAATAAAGTTGTTCACTTCATTCCTTATCACCAAGGCTGTCGCTAGTTACAAGCCCTGAGAAATACTCTGAAGTAATTTAACTTTACTCATATTTTAACTTTACTTTTTTTTTTATGGCAGATGAATAAGTTATCAGAATTTTTGCATTACTATGTTAATGCATAGGCAGATATTGACTACTTATGAAGAAAAGAGCAGTAAATAAATTACTCTGATAAACAGTTTCATTTTACATTGGCAATGTAAATTTGTGTTTTTGCTTTTATTATATTTATTGCAAAAATATAAGATGAGACATAATTGTGTGTATATAATATCTAATTTTAAATTCATTGCTCCTGTTTTTGATCTTATGTTATTATAATAGAATATTTAGGACTTTTAGTCTATGAGTTAGATGCAAAATTCTTAAGTGGTTATTTACATATGAAGGTTTTGAATCCTAGTCCGTAGTATTTCTGTTTTGGAGACAGTGCTGTGTTATTTTGTCACAGCATTAATCAGCTGTCATGACTAGACAGTGTTCTTAGTTTCATGAAATAAACAAAAACAAATCCATTGTTCTGGCTTTGAGGTGCACATGTTTGAGTGGAAAATTACATGTATTTGGTAACTCTCGCTCCCTAAACAAAATTTGGTAGCTGTAGAGGGCACCATTTTTCTGCAGTGTGAGGAGCGTACAAATGTACATTTATACATATAAATTCTTCATTATTTAATAGAAGAGACAGTATACTCAGAGAATAATGATTTGCTGTCTGTATAACAATAAATTTGGGACATTTTCTGTGAATTTAAATTGTTTTCTTTACTTGGCAGTAAGGGTTGGTCAAACACTTTTAACATGGACCAGAAAACTCTTTTTTAGTGTATCATGTGGAGAGAGCTGTCGTAAAAGTGCGATGGTGCTCATGTGAATATCTTCTGTGGTGTCTATATTATTTACCAGCACATTGGGGTAGAAATTTTAAAAAATAGCAATTATCCAGTAGAACTCTTTAAAAAATTTACACATATACCAAAAATGGTAACTCCTCCTATTAGTCATCACACAGTTGACTTGTACACTGTATCATTTTTAAATAAAAATTTAAGGTTAAAATATGCTTTCCCTAAGCTTCCGGCCCTTTTTATCTTGACAATATTCACATTTTATTTTTTAATACAGTCAAATGTAAAAAATCTGCCTACCTGAAATCCGCATTGCCTCTCAAAATATAAACATTCAGTTTATAGGTTCCGGAAACCGCAACATTGAGTACAAAATATTGAAGATAAAATATGTACCGAATAATGACATCATAATTACTGAATAATAATGAGTCATAACGAAAATACTAAATTATTGACATCATGATAAAAGTTTTTTCCCCTCTAATCTGCATCGAGGTAAGAAAGCAGACAATTCACTCAACTCTTCTTTCAAGTTCACAATTCACGTTGTTGTATTTTCTGAGCTTTGTTATTTCACTAGATTATTAAGTGTTGCCTTTTTTTTATCCGAATATTTTGTTGATAAATTAAGAATATTTTAAATTTCAGCCCTTTTTAATACAATTACAGACAAGAAATGCACTCATGATTTTATTGCTTGCAACGTTGAAAAACGTAAACTTGTTGCATTGATAATAATGCAAAAAGTGCAAATTCTGCAAAAGATGGAGACAGGTGCATTTTATAGCAGAATCGTATGGAATTGCGATAGGATTGTGTGTATGATATACAGAAAAGTAAAGAACATTGTTGAAATTTTACAGCAACAGTGATTCTAACACCAGAGAATCCGAAACTGGAAATCTTAGCATGAGGAGATATCAGCAAACCTCGATACTGTGTACATATAATACAATGAATAATATAATCAATTTATATATGTAATAATAATTTAATGCATATAATAAGTTATTGCAATAATGTATATAATAATTTAATTAAATGTATCTAATACACCTTATTTATTTTGCACTTTTAGTCTGAATATTATGATTTCTCTTTTCTGTCCTGAAATGTGCAAAATCCTAAAATCCGCACAACCTCTGGTCCCAAGCTCTGCGGATTTCTTGACTTCTACTGTATCTAAATTAAGCTGTTAGAAATGATATGACTCTATATTCTTTAACAGAAGCATTCTATTTCTAGTCTCAGCTTAGGCTGATCACTAAAATAGTCATGTGTATACATGCTGTAACAATAGTTGGGCACTCACACTGATGATTTCAGTGGTTTGTGTACAGGTAGGAAAGAGATGAAAATGACATTGTGCACAATTTCATAAAGAGCCAGATTAAGCAATTAGAAAGGCTGCAAAACGTATTCATGTTTAATATGTAATATTGTGAGTTAGCACATTTCACAAGTTGAAGGTCTTTTGTGTGTGTGTAATTAAGACTGTTTTACTGTCAAAATTATGATGCTCTTGTTTTTTTTTTTTTTTTTTTTTTTTTTTTTTTTTTTTTTTTTGCAGTATTTAGTATTATATGCATTATTGCTTTTAATTCTAGATTATTTAATTATATTGCAGCATGAACAAGTGAACCAGCAGCGATGTACAACCCCCGATGTTTTGCGAGGTGGAATATGTGGTGAAAGTGGATTGAGAATAAGCCATAGTGGAGATTCTCAGTTAGATAGAGATAGTTATAGTGAAAATTCTGATTCTCCATTGGTAAGTTTTGCTGCGTTCTCTTCAATGAATAAAAAAAAATGCTTCTTAAAAATATCTTTTATTTAAATATCAAAATATATATTACTTTTCAGAACTTCCATGTCTTAATTTCATTTTTCTACTACAGTCAAAAGTCGTTAATTCGGACACCCATAATCCGGAATGATCTATAATCCGGACCTCAAAGCTAAAAACTTTCTGCGCACACGCCACGTTGACACATGCGCATAGGCGTTTAAGCATGTGCGTAAGACCTTTACGACTGCGCATATGCATGTGCGCAAACACAGAATACGTTTTCACGTGCGCGTTTAATGTATAGCAGGCAGTATAAGCTAAAATTATCTATTTCAGTCAATGTTGATGATTGCGTTATTCCGTAATCTTCGAAGTGGATCCGGCTTATTATTTTTTGCAGACTGTAAGAGCAATTTTATAAAAGTAAACTTGAACTTTCGATTATGTCAAATAGAATTTCCGATGCTGGAGCTCCCAAAGGATCTACAAAACGAAAGTATGTTTCGATGTTCATCAAACAAAAAGGAGAATTGCTGCAAAAAATGGATGAAGACATGAAGAAGGTGACAGAGAGGTTAGTGAAAACGAAAAAATTTCAATTGACAAGTTAGACGGTATTCTCGGCACAGCAATTACGGGACTTGAACAGCGGAACTTTGTAACTGAACAAGAAATTATGTCTGTTTATAAAATTAAAGAGAAAGTATTATCACATAAAATGAAGCAACTTAAACAACTTACATTGAAAGAAATGTTTAATAAAGTAAACAAATAAATATTAAGCTTTTTTTTTTTGTAAATTTTGATACCCTTTAGATCATAATTGCTCTTTATTTCATAAATTATAGTTTCATATTTTTAATTTTATAATTTCTGCATGCCATCTTACCAGATTTAAACTGATGATCTATAATCCGGAATCGCCGAAGTCCCGATGAGTCCGGATTAATGACTTTTGACTGTACACATATTAAACATATTCATGTTTAATATGTAATATTAAATTCATGTAAACATGCTCTTAAATGTATGTTATCTTAATTGTATAAATTACAGCATGTGTATTTATTCACTATGCGCACATAGCTTTGCTTTATATATATGAAATGTGTATTGCTTAACGTGTACTTATTCTGCCTGTAATTATTATAGATAGAATAGCTAACAAGAGTTATGCTGTCTCTAATGGTTGAATTATTTATCTATTCTGTGATGATTTGTAAAATGCTCTCATGCGGTGACATAAGTTGCATATACACATGTTTGATTTTAGGCAGTTAAAAACTACTTAAATGTGTAGCATGCTCATCATGTTTGGGTTAAAAGGAGGGTTCCCACTCACCTGGAAAGTCGTGAATCTGGGAAGTGAAAAATGGTTAACATTTTCCTAAAAGTTAAGAAAATTAAAGTATACAACTCAGTTTTCTTCAATAATGAAAAATTCATTTTAAATAGTAGCAAGTAAACAGAAATTACCCTTTTTAAAAAAGAAATCAATTGAAGAATTATTATAATATCTGTGTTTCTTGCAGAAAGTATTTTATCCATCTCATACCAGATACTTTTTTTTTTTTTATCAGCCCATAGCTTTTCTTTCCACCTATTAGGGAGCTGTTGTTCAACTTTTCCTTTAGAAATGCAATTGCTTTGTTGCATTTCTCTTTAATAATGTAACTGATCTCTTATCTCTTTCTTTAGAAGTGTAATTGGCTTTCAGTGGTAAATAATGTAATAGTTATATTAATTAAATATTTACTGTAAATGGTGTACTGTTATATATATATATATATATTTGCAAAATAAATAATTTTTCAAGATTTGAATTTTTAAAAAAAAATTTTTTTATTCTTTCACTGCATATTTTATACATATATTTTTCATATTTGGTCAGGATTGGCAGTAGGCATTTTGTCGCCTTTTACAATCTCTGCAGGTACTAAATTCTGCTGCCCCGTCCCTAATTTTGCCCTTCTGCCTCCCGGTGCCTACCCCAGATTATAAAAATTTTGCTGTCCGTAAATTTTCTTGATTGTTTCATCTTTAAATTCTAAGATTTTTCTGTCCTTAAATTTTGTCATGTATTGCAGTTGTGCCAAGCCTATATTTAATTTACTACCATGAGTCAGGTGAATTACATTTTAAAAACATTTTGTGTTCATTGTATTTTGGAATAAAGGCATAAAATTATTCATTATTCAACTTAATTTGTGAACTACTTATGTATATTTGGTTTTAGAAATTGTGAAAAATGGGGCAATAAAAAATTTAATTTCAGTGGGAGCACTGAAGTTAAATCTGGGCTGTAAGCTTTAAGGGTTTAGAAATTCAGCTTTGTGCTGCAGAATGGGAATGGAATAAATTAATTGAAAAATTAGTATTGTGTCTGAAGTTTATTGGCATGTATTTAAAACAAGTAAATGTAGCACAATTTCAAAGTGAGTAAGGACAACACTGTACAGGAAAATAAGAACATTTTTATCTCCAGCGCATGAGCCTGTGTATTGGAAATTCTAAAGATATGCTCATTTTAAAATTATTTTGTGATACTGCTGAATATTGAATTTTATTGTTTAAGTGTGAAGAACATGATATTTAACAAATAAAGGTAACACACAGAACGTTAAAAAAAAAATATGCAGCACAGGCTCTAGATAACCATTAAGTGTAAGTGGAAATTTTATTGGATACTCAGATAAGCGTATGCAGGAAATAGGCATAAGTACACTAAATAATTAAACTAATTTAATTCTGGCTGAATTTCTTCAGTGTGCGATAAATGAAGACAAATTTAATGGAACAACATGTCCTTTTTTTTTTTTTTTTTTTTTTTTTTTGTATGCAAAGTACACAAAAAGGGACATTGAGAGCTGTCTCATTTGTTTTGAATTTTATATGGGTCCCTCTGTAAAGTGTAATAAAATACCAAATCTTAAAGGAAGAGCAAGGTATTTTTTATTTTTAGGAAATGTTGAATGTTGCAATTGTTTTATTTAAACATTAATTATTCATTTCTTCACATGCCTCAGCAACTGGCTTGGCTGAATTTAGTAAGTACAATTTAATCTAAAATATAATTTGATTTTCTTTCTTTAAAATTTCTGTATGGGAAAAGAGTTCTGCTTGCTGTCTTAAATAATTTTATGTTGATAGTTTCCCCATCCATCTGAATATTCAGCAAATATTAGTATAAACTGTATTTGAAACATTAAAAAACATTTTTTATAGGCTACTCCCAAGCTCACTAATAAAAGAAAAAGTGTGCATGCTAGGAGGCTAAGGCCACAGTCGGTTGTTGGTAAGTATTTTAATAAAAAGATCTGGTTTTATATTAATCTTCGCTTTAAAAATTATCTGTATATTTAAAAAAAAAAAAAGATTTCCAAGTTTTGATTATGGCATTGATCATAATAATTTTCGTGCTTTTTTATTTATTATTATTAATTATTTCCTAAAACTGGTGCATTAAAATATTGCATGGTATATATATATGTGTGGTGTAAGCAGAAAATATGGTTACTACACTAACACAATAATAATAATAATAATAATAATAATAATAATTGGCAACCTCCAAATTAACCCTTATATGTTCCTTTTTGTCCCAAATTCGAGACCATTCTGTCATATGACTCTCACATATGCTGAATGCAAATGGAACTAAAACCCAAAAATAACCAATAGCAGCTTAGCTTTACATATCACGCGCTCAGTATAAATACCACTATTACTAGAAATTGCATTAGCTTTCCTTACTCTCTTCAAATAGTCTGTGCCACTCTGTTCGCATTCTTTTTCCTTTGTTCATCGCATAATGTGACGTTGTTAAATTTTATAATGTGTGTAACGCCTGGAATGAATGTATACTCTAAATTACTGCAACAAGGTATGCCATAAGAAAGTATGTCCTCTAGAAAAATGTTTAGCTCCTCAGCTAGCAGCTCCTTCCCTCAGTCATTGCCTCCACATTAATGTGGTTTGAATGAATTATCACATATATAAAGCATTTTCAAGACTTTACCCAAAATTTGGTATCCATAAACGTGTAGTGGAAGTTTTTGTTTGAATTCAAAGTTAGCCCTGTTGAAAGGCTAGCAGTAATAATTAATCGTTTTGTGAAGCACATTTGTGTTGTCTTTTGCTATTTTCTATGAATTAAAATGTAAACTATTTTTGGATTATATTAATGTGTTATATTGAATAATATATTTATGAATAGTAGTTAAAAATATAATTATTATTGTTAGTGAGTACAGTTCAATTCATTGGTATGTAAGAACTTATTTTTCACTACTTAAAGATGTAAAAATTTCAGATTAAAATTGATTGAATATATTTAAAATTATTTAAGTCCCTTCCCATATGAACAGATTAACTGAACTGTATTATTATGAAACAGATTAACTTAACTGTATTATTATGAAATGTTGCAGTTTTCAGTATAAGCCACTCCATGCTACAGAAAATTAAGAAATTTTGGAATTTAAAAAGAATGGTGTTGGGAATGTATAAAGTTATGGTCACATTGTTTGTTTCTGAAATTTGTTATTTTTTAAATGGAACTATATTTATAAAGTCACAAACTATATTTATAAAAAAATGGCATGCAAGTATTGTCTTACACACTGCACTTGGAAAATGATATAAAAAGGGGCCTAAAATTTATTTCTGAGGGCCTTATTTATATCATGACAATGCACCTGCTTATATAGCTGCATAGGCTGTAGAATTTCTGCTGCAAAAAAGTTTGGGTAATTTTAGCATACTCGCATTATTCATTTGATTTGGATTCAGGGGCCTTCTTTTTTCCTCTGTATTGGTAGAAAAGAAGCTGTGATATATATATAATAGATTATGTATATTATAATCTATAGCAGCTTTTGATTAAAATGTGAGAAGCATTAGACTAATAGTCTGGATATTTTAAAAAGTAGCTTCATTGAATGGTAATTACTGATGCATTAGTGTCCTAATGATAATTTCAAGAGATACAGCAATTATTTCATTTTTACTTATTGTTTACTTTTCTTTTTGTTTCATGTACCTCTCAAAACACTTATAGAACTTTCCCCTTACTGCTGGCTTTGTGATAAGCTGATTGTTAAGCTGTAGCTATGTTATTAGCTGCTTGCTTGAACACATATATGCATTCAAGGTCTGCTTGTTCTCAAATACTTGTTATGTTACATATAACTATAGTTGCATTAGTCTGTTTCTGGTGATCAATACATGCTTTTTTCATTTTTTAAAGTAAGATGCTGTTATTTTGTATGACTTTCAATAAGTTTCCTGCTATCTGTTACAAGAATTTTGTGGCTATAAGAAACTTATATGTGAGCATTCTTGTTTCAGCTTCATTTAGTACTACAAGTAAATACTGTAATTAATTGAAAACTTTTGAAATTCTTTGTGTTAACTCTTTAATGTGTGTGAATTCGTTCACAAAATATTTTAACTTTTTACATGTAAATACTTATTTTGCATATATGTATAGTGTATATATGATGCCCATATGCATGTAAATTTATACATGAAATTTCTAGATAGTGTTGAAGGAATAGCTGCTGATGACATTCCTGATCTTTTACCAAAAGATGAAGGTAACAAATGTTTGTTATTAGATATATATGATTTTAGCAATATCTTAATATATCGCATGTCTCAGTGTCAAATATTAATTATCCAGTGATCTGACTTTGTTGTAAAAGAATATATGGTATGTGAAAGCAAAAACATGACCACGAAACAAAGATAGCTACAAAAATATGGTATTCAGTTTTGATATTCCTTTTTTGCAAACTGATTTCATTTTGTCAGTTAGTTTTATTCAGAGTTTTCCAAGGGTAATGAAAGCAAGGGAAGACAGTATTTAATTAGTTGACTTTTTAACTTAAGAACATAGCCTGGTTTCACTTTAATTAATATTTTTCAGTAGTTTAATCTAAAACATAAAAAATTATTTACGTGAGTGTGTTTTATTATGCATTAGGTATGCCAAAGCTTATGTTAGCTAATTTTGACTTCATATTTTTTTGTTTCAAAATTTTCATGTTTACAGTATTTTTAATCGTACTTTCAAATATTATCTCATATACTGATTTATTTTTTCCCTTTCCCAGAGAGTTTACCCAGTCTTTCACCAATGTCTGAGAAATTAGAACATTTAGGAAAAGCTCGCCCAAAAAGACCCAAAACTAGAGCACCGACCCGACCTGCTATTCAAGGAAAGGAATTACGAGAAGAACCCCAAGATATTGGTGAAGGATTAGACAACTTTTTTAGGCAACAAAGAAATTCTCTTTCTACCCCTACCTTGTCTCCTGATTCAGAAGAGATTCGGTAATTTTTTTTTATAGTACTAATCCAAATCAGGCAAAATAAAAAATTAATATTTTCAAAGAAGCAGGGAGGTTATTCCAAGCAAATCTGAGATAGATGAATTTAAAAGAAATCTGAAGAATGCATAGCATTCAGATTAATTAAGGTTAATTTATTTAAAAGTTTTTTATTAATCTGCTGTAGTAGTGGAATAGATAACTTTGTTCAGGGAAAATCAATTATAAGTAAATTGACATTTAGTTTTTACTCATTAAAATATATTTAAAATTTCATTTGCAAGCATCTGAATCAGATGTGAGATAACCTTGTAGAGTAGCAGTAATAAGAAAGCTTAGTGAAAACTGAAAATTTGAGGTCAGATACTTTTGAACTAGCTGTTAAAGGCACTTCTATTAGTTATTCCATTGTTACCTTTTTTGCGTGTAAAAGAAAATTAAATAGTGATCTTTAAAGTTAATAATATTACTTATTTTTCAATTTAACTATGCTTATTCCTGAAATTTTAAGATGTTTCTAATTTTATAATTTTTGCAGAATAGTAATTTTATACTTAAACAAAAATTAGTCTATTCAAAATTTGTTTGCTTACACCATTTTTAAACTATGGCGTTCCAATAGATACTTCAACTTCTGTTCATGAGATGGCACCACGTGTAAAATCCAGTTCTTAATCGGAGCAGCAAAGCGACGTCATTACTCACTCAGACTTCTCGTCAGACAACTGTACGTGACGGTAGCATGAACTGTGTTCCGAGCTCTGCGTTGATCTCTGCAATGTAATTTAAATTGTAATTTAGTACTTAATATATTCTTTTGTTATAGGAGATTGTCTACTCTTATTTTCTTTAATTATATCATGCATTAAGCACACGACCACCAAAAGTGGTGACCTTTTGACTGAGCACGCTACTGACAATGGATTTTCAACGACCCTAAGCCACGTGCATCCAAGGCATTCTGAAGAACTGACTAAAAATAACAACGAATATGGACATTAAACGTATGCAACAACGTACCCCTTCAATTATTTCTAGATATATTGCTTCTGTATATATATCTTTCTAGATATATTGCTTGTGTTTGTTCCAAAGTCATGCATATCATCGCAAGGAGCTTCAGCAAATCATCAATGTGATCTGTTCCTTTCCGCTGACTTCGCCAGTCGTGCAATAATTCTTCGATCATTCAACTTTTGTGACAAATGTAATACAATAGTGATTTTCGCTAAATGTGCTACATCAGTAATTTTTCTGCAACGTGCTACGGCAAAATTCTTCCCTCAGTGTTCGAAAGTAGTGAATTTTTTACCCACGTGCTACAGGAGTGATTTCCTTTTTTCCTTCAAAAGTGCCTTAGCAGTGTGAAGTGGTGATTTTGTGTGTGCGCAATACAAAATGAACGCATCATTTTTTTTTCTCAAATAGGGGTTTCTTTTCAAATGCATTTCGGTAAAATATTATTTGTGTGTGTAATTGCTGACCCTGTCTTATTTGTGTGTGTATCGTTACGTAATTTTTTTCTGCATGGTTAAAATATTTATTGTTATCATGGTAAAATATCAATAGTGTATCCTCATACTACAATATTTGTGCTGTTAAGTGTTTATTAATTAAAGTGAAAATTATCTATCAGTATGCCCGACGATATTCCACCAGAGCCACAAATCACACACGTTGCGGTGAAGCCACTGCCTTTCTGGAAAAATAATCCTTCATTGTGGTTCGCTCAGATCGAAGCACAATTTTCTATCGCTTGCATTAGTGAGGATTCTACAAAATTCAACCATGTAGTTGCAGCAATTGAGTCTGATATTCTGAATTCAGTGCATGACTTAATTCTCAAACCACCTGATTGTGATAAATACTCCAAACTGAAACAGCGGCTCATTGAAATCTATTCAGAAAGTGAAACTTCAAAAATACGTACTTTACTACAAGGACTTGAACTTGGAGATCAGCGACCTTCATACTTGCTGTCACGAATGCGTGATCTGGCAGGAAGCCATTTTAGTGACGACTTGTTGAAGTCACTATGGCTTTCGCAAATCTCCCTAATAACATACAAATAATTCTTGCCGCTTCCAATGAAGATCTAACCCGTTTAGCAGCAATGGCTGACAAAATTAATGAACTTGTTACTGCCAGCTTATGTCAGTGCTGCTAATGCTGCACCTTCCAGTTCATCACCTCGAACAACAAAGTGGCTGAATTGACCAAAAAAGTATCTGAACTCTCTACAAGTCTTCATGCTTCACGGAGATACAATCGATCAAATCAGGGCCCACGTAATAAATTTCGTGCCCGAAGCAGGAGTCGAGTCGATCTCGTCACAATACTCGAATGCGCATTACAAAGAACCCACAAGTGGCATATGTTTTTATCCATATGAATTTTGGCGCTCAAGCTAACAAGTGTGACCTCCATGCACTTTTGAACAAGCGGGAAACTAAATGGGCGGTCTTCTGCTGGCCAGCAGAATGTCCGCCACATCGACAGAATAGTACAGATGGCTAATCCGTTCAACTCAGTTATGTTTTCTAGGTAGATACTGGAGCTGACATATCAGTGCAAATCCCGAGAACTAAAACAAATGCTCACCAACTTAATAAACTTGTACTGCATACAGCAAATGGTACCCAAATTGCAACCTTTACGGCACCAAACTATTGACACTTGATTTAAACTTGTGCCGGACCTTTCAAAGATGGCCTTTTGATTTATTGCGGATGGTAACTCAAGCAATTATTGGTGTCGACTTCTTGACACATTTCCACCTTCTAGTGGATGTCAAGAATAATTGCTTAATTGATGCTACAACTCAGCTGACATCACAGGGCCAGGCTTCTCACATATCGAACGTACCTACCAACATAAGTGTTGGATCGGGCAGCACACGGTTTCATCGGTTATTAGAAGAATTCCCTGACATTTTAAACCCATCCAAATCAGGGCATCATACTCATAAGCCAGAAGTGTATCATCACATTGAAACATATGGCCCACCTGTATTTTGCAAGCCTCGTCGTCTTTCTCCAGAGATGCTAAAAGCTGCTCACAAAGAATTTGAATTCATGCTAGCACAGGGAACCATTCGCCCATCTAAAAGTCCATGGGCCAGTGCACTTCACATGGTTAAAAAGTCTAATGGTGACTGGCGGCCTTGTGGAGATTATCGTCGACTTAATGCCGTCACAGTCCCTGACAGATATCCAGTCCCACATATCCAAGACTGTACCCATCTTTTTCATGGAACAAACATATTTTCTACCCTCGATCTCGCCAGAGCATATCATCAGATCCCAGTGCATGCTGAAGATGTGCCCAAGACCACAGTGATTACACCATTTGGTCTCTTTGAGAGCTAATATATGCCCTTTGGCCTTCGCAATGCTAACCAAACATTTCAGCGTTTCATACACCAAGTACTGTCTGGCCTCGATTTCTGCATCCCATATTTTGATGATATCCTGGTTGCATCTACAGATGCGGAAGAACATTTTCAACATCTGCGTCAGATTTTCACTCGCCTTAAAGATCATGGATTAAAACTAAATCCATCCAAATGTGTACTTGGTCAACCCTCAGTTTCCTTTCTTGGATGTCTTATCACCCAGAATGGAGTCAAACCTTTACCGGAAAGAGTCAAAGCAATTAACGACCTACCTCAGCCCAAAACCATCTCTGAATCGAAGCGTTTTCTAGCAATGTTAAATTTCTACCAACGCTTTCTGCCAAATGCCGCAAAAACACAAGCCTGCCTACATGAGTTTCTGAAGAATAGAAAAAAAAAAAAAAAAAAAAAAAAAGATCAACGAGCTGTCCCTTGGACTGAATCTGCAGCATTCGTGCAATGCAAACACGATCTGGAAAATGCAGCCACACTTTCTTATCACTCACCTAGTGATCAGCTCTCTATAATGGTAGATGCATCTGACATGGCCATAGGAGCAGTACTTCAAGCCCATACCACTAAAGGACTTTCCCCAATGGCATTCTTCTCCAGAAAACTTACTACTGCAGAAAGGAAATACAGCACATATGACAGGGAGCTACTTGCTGTGTACTGTGCTGTTAAATACTTCCGACACAACTTGGAAGGACACGACTTCATCATTTTCACCAATCATCGACCATTAACCTTCACTTTTAGAAAAAACTCTGACTCATGTTCTCATCGTCAGCTTCGACATCTGGATTTCATCGCCCAGTTTAGTACAGATATCAGATATCAGATATGTCTCTGGTACTGATAATTATGTCGCTGATGCCTTGTCTCGGGTAAACAATATCAACCTCACTACCCCAGATTTCTCTGAAATTGCAAAAGCTCAATTGCATGATGAGGAACTCAAGAACCTAATCTCAAATCCACAAACCTCCCTTCAGTTACAACCGCTGCACATTGATCCAACGCTTAAAATTTACCGTGACATAGAGAACAATAGAATACGTCCGTATATCCTGTCGATTTTAGACGTGAAGTGTTTAATGCCTTGCACAATTTGGCACATCCTGGAATCCGTGCCACCAAAAAGCTGATCGCAGACAGATTTGTCTGGCCAGCAATGAATCAAGACATCACGGAATGGACTCGTTCATGTATTAGATGTCAACGGTGTAAAGTAACCCGTCACACTCACAGCCCCATTCAACAATTTAACCTTCCAGCAAGACGCTTTGATCATGTGCACTTAGATTTGGTTGGCCCATTGCCTCCTTCAAATGGTTACACTTACCTCCTCACTTGTATTGATCAGTACACAAGATGGCCTGAAGCCATTCCTATTGAAAATATATCCGCTGAAACTGTAGCTCGAGCATTCATCTCCCAGTGGCTTTCAAGATTTGGCATGCCTACCACCATCACTACTGACCAAGGCCGATAATTTCAATGTCACTTGTTCGCATCCCTCACCTCTCTTCTTGGCATTCGCCATATTCGCACAACACCATACCATCCATCTGGAAATGGGATGGTGGAACGCTTTAACCGATCTCTCAAACAAGGTCTGAAGTGCCACAGTAGCACACACTGGACAGAAGCCTTACCCCTAGTCTTGCTTGGTCTTCGCACAGCATTCAAAGAAGACATTGGTAGCACTTGTGCTGAAATGTTATATGGTGCAACCCTCCGTCTGCCAGGTGAATTCTTTCACCCAGAATTTACTCCAGTTATCGACCCTCCAACATTCCTTCAATGTTTACGTGAGACCATGAGCAATATCTCGCCAACCCCAGCATCTTCGCATAACCAGCCAAGCTATTTTGTACATCCTGCGCTTGAGACGTCTTCGCACGTATTCGTGCGCAACGATGCAATTAAGCCAACTTTAACACCTTCATATGATGGTCCATTCAAAGTTGTCAAATGAACACCGAAACATTTCACCATCATCTGCAATGGCAAACAATCAGTGATTGGAATCGATCGTCTCAAACCAGCATTTCTAATGCAAGATCCAACAACTTCCTCATCAACATCGCTCCCGGAAGAAAGCTTACATCCCGTTAAAGAGCAACCTAAAACTACCAGATCTGGAAGAAAGGTTAAATTTAACCCAAAATACTTATAACGTACCGATGGTACTTGGGGGGGGGGAGTACTGTGGCGTTCCAACAGATACTTCAACTTCTATTCATGAGATGGCGCCACGTGTAAAATCCAGTTCTTAATCGGAGCAGCAAAGCGACGTCGTTACTCACTCAGACTTCTCGTCAGACAACTGTACGCGACGGTAGCATGAACTGTGTTCCGAGCTCTGCGTTGATCTCTGCAATGTAATTTAAATTGTAATTTAGTACTTAATATATTCTTTTGTTATAAGAGATTTTCTACTCTTATTTTCTTTAATTATATCATGCATTAAGCACACGACCACCAAAAAACCATACAAAGCATTAAGTAATAATAAGCTACTAAATAATAATTTTTGGAATGTTTTAAAATTTCTGTCTTTTGTGACAAATTCTTTTGAAATTATATGAACAATCTATATCTTTAATTTCCTTCAGAAGACAAATATAAGAACCCTTTATTGCATTTGTTTTCAGATTGTAGTGGTATTACGAATAATTGTGTTTCTTTTATTTTAATCACCTCCTTTGGCTGTTTGAGAGGTTAATATTTTGTAAAAGATGGATAATTTCACTGATGAAACAATCATGCTCAAATATTTTTCAAAAAAATGCACATTTAGGTTAAATTAGATCAAGTACTTAATTATTACAGTTATATCTTATTAGCATATTTTCATTAAAGTAACCATTTGAATTTCATATGCTTGTAAGTTAGGAAACAAATTTATCATTTATATGATGTCAGTAATTAAAAAGAAACAATAAATAATTAAAAGAGAGACAGAGGGAGATTGCGTATTCAGTACAATCTCTCTCTCTCTCTCTGGGATTAATATAATAATACAAAATTTATATATTACTATAGCATTCTAAAAAACAGGTTTAACATAACTTACTGTTTTTAAAACTAAATATATTTTTTAAAATATTATAATCTGACATTTTATTTAAATTCTAAAACTAATAAATTTAGATAAATATATATTTTGATATAGAAGTTCTTCAAGCAAGGTAATTCTTATTCTTCTGATATACATATTCATCCAGTGGACAGCAGGTTCCATTGTGTCATCATTCAAATATTTATTACTAATATAATGCTTTTTGTGTTGCATGTATATTTAATTGATGTATCTGTATATTTATTGATAAAATTATAATACTGTTCTAAAATATACCATAATGAAGCTATGTAATAAATTTTATAGACTTACTATATACACTGTGTCCATAAAAGTCCTAACCTGGCCTTAAATACACTAAAATGGTGCACTTTGTCTAGATATACTAAAATGAAATATTACAATAAAATTATGTAATAAATTTTATGGAATTATTAAATACACTGTGTTCACAAAGTCCTTACCTGGCCTTTATTTTCACAACCATTTGTCATAGCCGTGTACTTCTACTTACAAAACTATTTTAAATGATGCAAATAAGATGTTTTATCATTTTTAAATTAAAAAAAATTAATTGCTGATTTTAATATTATTAAGAAATATTAGTTTATTAAAAATATAAATTTTTTCAAAAAGCAGGCCATATTCACAGAATCTAATAAATTCCTGTTCTACAAAGACACACTGGCAGGCTTCTGTTTTGGCTCATAGACAACTTGTAACATTATTTGCACGAATTTCAAGTATTTTTAGTTTAATGAATTTCTTGTATGATTATTAAATTATAGAACTAAATTAATAAAACTTCATGAAAATAGTTAACACATATTTTTAACATTTGAAAACGTATAAATAAATTACTTGCATGAAAATTCTCATAACATACCAATGGTTACAGAATTGTTAATTAAAGAACATAATAACTTATAAATCACAAAGGAATATCATTGAGTGTCATCTAACAGGGAAAATCAACCTTGAGTTATTGTAATTTATTTATCAATTGAACCCTCAATGCCAACTGAAAATAATGGCAAAAATTTTGAGAGAAGATACAGGGGTTGGACAAAAATATGGAAACACCTTTAAAAAAACATGTTTCTTTGCTTAATATGGTGTAGGAAACCCGTTGGCATCCAAAACAGCTTGCAGTCTTTTCGGAATGGATAAATACAGTTCCTGTATGTTTGCCAAGGGAATATTATACCATTCTTCCTGCAAAACGGTGGCAAGTTCAGATAACGATGTTGGCGGTGGATAACGAGAATGCACTTTCTGTTCCAATGTAGACCATAAAGGTTCGATAATATTCAGGTCTGGTGACTGTGATGGCCAGGGGAGATGGGACAACTCATCCTCGTGCTCAGAAAACCAGTCCTGCACAATGTGAGCTGTGTGAACAGGGGCTTTGTCGTCTTGGAAGACACCATCACCATCGGGGAACAAAGTTTGTACCATGGGATGAACTTGATCGGCCAAAATGTTCACATAAGTCTTGGCAGTCATGTGCCCTGACACAGTTATCATGGGACTAGCAGAGAACCACGATATGGCTGCCCAAACCATAACAGAACCCCCGCCAAGCATAAACCAGGGGACAATACAAAAAGTTAGATTTCATGTTTTAAAATGTGTAATCCTAAATATTGGTATTATATAAAACATTTTTATATATGTGTATAAACATTTTAGTTGTAATCGAAACTAATCCTGTGAAATTTGAAAATATAACGCTGATTTTTGTTGTTTGACTTCTAAAATAATATTGTAATTGTGTTTTGTGCTGTGTATGTAATTGTGTGGTTAAAACATTTTTATAAGTATGTATTGGCCATGACTAACAGCTCCAAAAATAAAAGCCTATTGAGGCTTTTAAATAAAGATTTATTTATATTTATGACATTATTATTGTTATAATTTACAAAAGACGTCTCATCTACTAATAAAATCATTAATAATTTATTGTAAACCCTAATAATTTATTGTGTTCTTGTTATAAATTTTTGTGTACAATCAATGAACCGTTATTAATATCATGTGATGTGAATGTACTGCATAAATTTTGTAACTTCTGCTTCTTTCTTTTCTTTTATTATAGAGAAAGAGCTGGAAGTAGTAGCACTTCTGCCAGTATTCTAAGTGGGGATTTAACATCTTCAGATTGTGTTGTCAAAGTTGATCGCTCACCAGAAAACGAGAAAAAAGAACGAGGGTGAGTGTCTGAGCAGTAACTTCGGTCTTTAATGGCAAACTCGCAGAAATTTATAATCTAGTTCTATTGTTGCAAGTTTCACTGCCATTGTCACTGTAGTCTTGTCTTGTTAAAATATACTGCGTGGTAAATACTTTTAGGTGAATGATTAGATAAAATTTGACAGAGTAGTCTTGTGTATTCTAAATCCATGTATGATTGTAGACCTCAAAATATATTTTTATGAAATTCGATTGTGATGAATATATAGTTAGAAGCTCGGGCAGTCCCCCCCCCTTTATTACATAAGTGAATTCTGCATTTGATTGTTTATATTTCGTTTTAGAAAAAGTGAAACTGAATTATCTTGAGTCTAAAATAATGTCCGGAAAGTGTAAACTTTTCTTGAAGAAGACTGCCAGCTTATACTATATATTACAGAATTTCATTGAGATTGTCTTTATGAATTGTATTGTTTTCTAATTTTTTAAATAATTTTATAATAGTAAGAAATGATTTGGTTTATTTTCTATTGTAAATTCTGTTTTATTCATTTTGGGGATGTGCAATGAGTAAAAGAAAAAGTTACCTGTTATTGTAATAATTTATTTCTTTTATACATAGATATTTACAAGCTATTTTAGCTTTGTGCAGTTTTTATGAGATTATATGTGTTAAACAAATGTTAAAATATTTTATGAGTAATTTATTTCCCATCACAAAAGTTTTGTCTGTTGTAGTATAGTATTTTGTTTTCATTTATAACTGAGCTTGAAAATGTGAGATTTGAGACTTGTAAGTCCAGCCAAATGTAACAAATTTTTTATCTGTTATTCATATATTATTTAATATAATTGAGTTATATTTTCTGTAATATGTTAGTTGCGTTTTTATTCACAAGAAGCTAACGCACATAATTTTTCTCTTTATTTTTATATATTTTTTGTTCTGTGTTATGTATTACTTGTAGTCATCCAATGTATTCTGTGCTTTTTTTATATAATATTTTCTATGACAAAAGTTTGACTCGTGTATTAAAATATTTTATTAGGATTTTTTAAACTTAAACATGTCAGATTTCAGCTCTTTTCATCTCTTTTATTGTGTACTATATTGTACTGTATTATTATTCCTTTGCATTTATTTTTCAGCTTTCTTTTCAATGAAAAGCAAATGTTTAATTTTACATTTTTAATCATATACTCTGATATTTTTACTTCTCTTAATATGTAATCTTTTATACTTGAATTCTAAAAAGATGATTGTTTCAGTTTTGTAAATTGATTAGTGAATTGAATGTGGAAAACCAAAGATTAATCTGTTTTAAATCCTTTGTTGAGCATATTTATTTGTATCTATATTGTTTGGAAATACGAGCACATATTTAAATGCTTTGGGGTATTGAAATATATTTATTTAATTGATTATTTTTAATATTTTGTTATATTTTGTTCAAATGCTTATGGGAATGTATATTTTGTTATTCACTTGTTTTATGTTAGTTTCATGCATTAATCATCTCAAAAGTTTTTATAAAATTTCGAAGAATTCATATCTAAATAAATTTCTTACCTGTGTGCCAGAATGCATTTTTTATTAGACGTATATAAATGCTTTATTAACTACTCTTATATATATTTAAATATGAAATCTGATAAATGTCTACTTTGATAATTGTCTAATCTATTTGTACAAATTCCTATCCATGTTTTATAAAATAAATTTCTGCATATTATCTTTCGTAATGGAAACTTTACTTAAAATTTCAGATCTATTTCGCATTCTAAATGATAAGCATAATTTCTGTATTATCTATGACCAGATGGCTGCCTTTAAAATAATGTGCCAACTATTGTAAACTGTAATTACTTGGCTCACGTTATGTGTATTTAAAAGCAATTCTTTTGTAGTACTAACATTTCTCTGTAGTTATTAATTTTGGCATTATAAGATTTTAAACCTAAAATTTAAATATTACTGTCATTTTAAATTTAAAGAGGTAATTTATTTCTTCAGAACTTCTAAATTTCAAAATAGGAAATGTCAAGTATTTTATATTAATATTTACATATGGAAGCAGATACATCTACTGGTTATGATATGCATGATTCAAATAACAATGCATAATAGTCTATTAAATAGTCACATCTATGTTTTGAAAGCACATAGGCAGAATAAATCAAATAACTTCTAATAGGTACAAGTGAAATTCTAGAGAAGGTATTTCACTGGCTAGTTGCAATGATTTAGCCTAGTTTAGTTTAAAATTTAACATTGGTCTTTTATTATGAGTTTTGTGCAAATTAAACATAATGGTCTGTTTGCTGTATGTAGGATTTTATCTAGTCTTTGAAAGTAATCCTGTTTATTTATTTTTTAATTATTATTTCTAATTTCGGCATTATGCGTATGATTATTGCTTGTCCGTTAGTGTAAATATTTTCAGTTACAATAAACATTTTCTAAATGAATCTTTGTGTGATTTTCTTTTTTTCTTAATTTAATTACTATTTACTAACTATTTAAACATATATAGTCATTCATTGTTTCTGGATGAGCTAGCTACTTTTTTATTAAATAAATTAAACTGTGATTATCATGCTTCTTTTCTTATAAATTATTGGCTAATTCTATCATCCCATTTTCTATTCAACATTCAAAAATATAAATTTAAAAATTAGTTTGATTAGGTATTCAAAATTGTATGTGCATGTATACTTCTGCTGAAAATTTGTCTTTTAGGTAAATTATATTTCTATAAATCTGTCATGTTTAATTGCTCGTTTTCATGATTGTTGAAATTCTTCATTTAACAAAATCTGTAACATGTATTTTTAATGCGGAATGATACTAATGCATGTCCATTGTATAATTTTTTACTGTCTAAGAATGCCCTAACTTACGCATAATCTTTCCTTCTTACGGTATTTTAATTTTTTTGTCTTGTTAGTAAATCATAATATACATTCCCATATAAGTATTGAATGTTTTCTAAATTATAAAGTGTTTGCTTGCATCATTATTTCTTTTACTAATTATTTGTGAAATTTTATTTGTTTAGTTAATTTTTAATAATTTCCCCTTTATATTACATTCTACACTGAACTCCCGATTATCCATGCAAATTAATGCATGGGTGTGCATGGATAATCAAAAACTATATTTAAAATCCAGGTATAAAAAAAATGTGCTCTTCAGAGATTTTAAATGAATGGCTGCGTAATATGAGGTTTAATTGAAATAATAACAAAATTTACATAGCTTTTCAGTTTGTTTTCAAAACAGTCTGTTAGATTCCTTTTTCAAAGAGCCTTATTTACATTCGTACAGACTAGGACAAACACTGCAAAGAATGATGATGCTGTTAAAATGCTGTTGCACAGTCAATTTATTCACCCAAATAATTATATTTAATAACCTCGTATACACATTATAGTTGCCTCCTGTGACTGATCTTGATTTTTCACCTCCATCATATTTTTTTTTTCATCTTTTTCATTTAGTGATAACTTTTGAGGTGCTCATATTGTAATCTTATAATATCTTATACTTTTCATCATTTTCAATTTTCTACAGTCCCTCTGACATGTTTACTTCATTTATGTTTTGAACATCTTGAAAACCAAAATTATGATATTCATAGTTTGGCTACATGGATGGCAACACCTTTCAATGCTAGTGTTCAAACAAGACTCTCACTCGGATCCAAAAGTCATCTTTGCTGTTTTACTTTATCTTCAGTATTCTGTCCAAACTGTTCTTTTACTCCTTTTAAGCCACTGGATTGATAATAGCCTTCATCTTGTTTTCCCTTCCTGCTCACATTTATGTATTCCTTACATGGATTTTTCAAAATGAATATCCACAATGATTTTAATAAGGTTTAATGTGTTTACTTGCTTTTTAACAGAACATTCTTCTTTCCCCTTATCAAGAAATAGTTTTTCCAATCTGAAAGCTTTTATTGTCTTTTTAAGTCTTAGTCTTTAGTATTAGCCGGGGAAATCCACTGCATCAAAAATCCTGAATTTATTTCGAAAATTCTCAATTTTTCTCGTCCTCAAATATTAGTTGTAGAGCTTCTAAGTGTCCAACAGTAGTTGGACATTGCATGAGTAGTCAATAGCATAGCCAATTTTATTTGGATAGTCGGGAGTTCAATATCTATAAAGAATTTTTTTTTAAATTTAGAAAATGGCACATTCTCTTTCATTGTCATGGTCATTAGATGAAAAAATATTGTTTTCATTTTTTTCACTAATTATCATACACTAGTAAATTTTTTGCAGATACATTTTAAGCTATTAATTGCCACAGTTAGTTTGACCCGCTCATTGACTCCTCTCCCCCCTCTTATATATATATATATATGTAGGTGTTTAAGAAATGAAAAATTAATATAATTGTTTCTACTGAATAAATGTTTATTAAACTTTGCATAAATTTTTAACATTTTTGTTAAATTATGTATATTAATTTTGTCGTCAAGGAAACATACCAATATATTCATCCAAGGCATGGGAATGCATAAATTTTATGACGTGTATACTTGTTCATGGCAGTTAACAGGTTAAGGAATTTTTCAGGTTTTCTTCTGGCTGATGAAGTCATTGAGTTTGGGAATATATTGATATAGTGCTCTTCAGAAAAATATTTAGTGAAAAAGGACTGTTCATAAACAGTTGAACTATATATATATATATATATATTCAAGAGATTAACTAAAGTAATATGATTGTCTACTTAGAACACCAAATTTTGTTTTAGCAACTTAATGCATTTGGCATTAATTGGCAATTTAATGCATTTGGCATTAAATTGGCAGAAGCTAATAGATGTACTACTTACTAAAAAATTTTGTAATTTCTTTTATTTGAAATTTTTCTTTTACTTAAAAAACTATTTTTAAAATTCTTTTTCTATTTCTTAACATTTCGAGTCATATCTATGGAGAGTAACATCTTCTTCCCTTCTGCTTGTGTTAAGCATCACTATTTCATGCTCATTGAAATTAATTTATTTTAGAATATATTAGAATAAAGAATAAGGCTTTACCCTAGATAAAGGAAGGTCTGTGAGTTTAACAACAACTGAGAATTTGAACCACATCGCATCATACTGTCTTACTTAAATAATAGAAAGGACCAAAACTTTTATTTGTTCACGGAAATAATTGATTCACAGAAGCTCTAGAATTGGAAATATGTTTAATGTTATTTATACTGATAAAAAATACATTCTATCTTAAAAACATTTCAAAAGCAAATATTTTGTATTCACCTCACCTTTCCCCCCTGCTTAGCTCTGCTTTATACTTTTTTGTTATTATTTATTTTATTATTTTTTTGTTTATTTACTATGTTATTTTATTATTTTTTACTATGCTATGCTTCCAATTTATTATTTGTTATGTAATATTCCAGTAATCATGCTTAATGTGGGTATATTTCATTGCAGACTTATATATGTAGCGGTCTTTTTTCATTAATTCTGCAGGAGTTTAGTCATTAAAATTGCAATAAATCCATACACATATATGTATCCCATCTTATTTATAACTGGTCTCCAGATTAGATCTTTTAAATACATACTTTTATGTAATCCATGCTGTAGTGACTGACTGCAAAAAATAGAAAAGTACATCTCCTGCATGCAGTATGTTAAAGTGATCAGACATACTTAATTTATCAATTCAGAGCTTATTTCGAATAAATTTAAAAATTGCATTAATCAAAAGAATTGCTAAGTAGCTTACAATTACAAACATTATATCACCTGTAATATGTTACTGACTCTAAGCATGGAGAATTTTACAGTATTGCTATTATGTCTTCATTCTGAACTTTTCCATTTGAGATTTAACACTTATCCTGTAATCATGGTCGCCTTCATATTTGTTCATTCGCATTAGAATGACTAGACTGGTGTAATATTACTTTTTTTTTAATTTAAAAATAAATTTATGAATAAATTCATTAAAAATTATCCATTATCTGGCTTTTTAGTAGCCCTTTAATATAAGTATTTAATATTAATTATTTCAGATAACATTGTTATATGATAAACCTAAATAGATCATAAAAATGCATAGTTACAAAAATATTTTATTGCAGATAATTTTTTCCCCTCTTTGCCCCTAGATACAAAAGGTAAGAAAAGGCACTAATTATAGATATTAAAAATACAGTTTAGTCTCGCTCTTTCATGTATTCGCTGAATGGATGAAGCCCTGAAAAAGAAATGCACTAATTATAGATATTAAAAATAAATAAAGAATATGTACTATATAGATATTAAAAATAAGGTAAAAAATGCACTAGAAATGTAGGTAATAAAATGCACTAATTATAGATATTAAAAATGTAGTCAGTTTAGTCTTGTTCTATTGTTCTATTGTCTAGTTATCCAATTGCTGACAATACATCTCTGAATGAGCTTTTCATTTGGTTTTAAAAACTCATAATGTATTGGTCCTCGAATGTCCCACCATATACACAACATTCTCTTATTCAGAGTCAAATTTGGTTTAGAGGTGGAAGGGCTAGACTTTCAGGGTTCACAATATGCCCTTTTCCTTATGATGTGTTCGTAGGTAATCCACTTTTCATCCTCATTTAGCATCCGGTTTAAGAAAGGCTCTATTTTGTTTTGAGCAAGCAGAGATGTGCATATAACCCCTCGGTCATCCAAATTCTTCTGACTTGTGGCACCCATCTTGAATTTTTCCACACCAATCCTATTTTCCGAATATGGTCCGAAATGTTTTGTTGAGCTGAATTAAGCATTTCTGTGACCTCCAATGTTGTCAGAAAAGAATCTTGCTCCAACATGGTCTTAACAACATCGTTGTCATCGATCAAAGATGGTTGCCCAGAACATGGCTTATCAGAAAGGTCGAAATCAACTGTTTCAAATTTTTCGAACCATCTCCTGCATACCCTATCAGAAACTGTATCTTCACCTATTTCTTCCTTGTTGAAATTCATATAAAATACAGGGGCGTAAATGAACTTTATCAGTAGCCATGGATACACTATCACTTCAAACTTAAGACTAACGTGAATCAACTTTGTTTTAGTTAATTTGCTACGTTAGTATATATACATTAAGCAATAAAAATAGAGAGCCGAACGTGTGCCAAATAAACATATGCTTAAGTGTCGAAAATTGTTTTCAGAGAAACGGACAGAACTTTCTGGTAGATCCAATATATATGTGTAAAGTATTGCTAATTCACATAAGCATTTGTATTATTAATTATCCTACAATTTTATTCTTAAGAGCTGCTTTCTCACTTTTATAGGTTTATGAAAGGTATCAGTAGTCTCTTCAGTCGAATATCTCCTGATGTTAGTCATATTCATAAATCTCGCTCATATGATTTAACAGATAAAGTAGTAGCAGCTGACCCATCGCCCACTCATAGCTCTGGAAAGGATTCTACTAAAAGTGTTATTGGAATTGGTGACATAAGTCTGCATTCCTCGTCTCCTCAGCTCGGTGGTCGAAATAAACGAGAAAAAGGTTATTACTGAATCTATACGTCATTTTCCCTCTATTTGTGAATATTTTTTGTATGTATATTTGTATATTGTATTTTTTATTCATGAATCTCTCTCTCTCTCTCTCTCTCTCTCTATATATATATATATATATGTATATATACAGGGTGTTTTGTAGATCATGGGACAAACTTGGAGGGGTGGTGGAGTGTACTAAAACATGCATTTTTTTTATAGAAATGTAGGGTCTTAAGTGACGGGTTAAGGCAGGAACACAAAAAAAAAAAAAAAATGACATGAGGGGAAAATGTGTGTACGCACAAAATAAACACAAAGTGTTTCTTTGTAGCAATACAGTATTCACAATAAATGTTCAAAATTGCGACCACCAGCAGTAATATATGCTTGGTAACGTCGCAGAAGGGATTGACGAACATTTTGAAAAACGACAGGCATTTCACTCGCATTTGCAGCTGCAATGGATAGTCGTGCAATGAGCTCCTCCAATGAGTCAATGGGAGTCTCGTAAATGATGCTTTTCAGATGGCCCCATAAAAAAAAAAATCCAAGCTGGATAAATCTGGCAAACAGGGTGACCATCGAACAGGTCCACCATGGCCAATCCATCAGCCCGGAAATGTCCCATCCAAGTAATTGCGGACCCGCACGTGGTTATGGACTGGTGCAACATCATGCTGGAACCACATGCGGTCATGAACGACAGCCGGAACATCCTGCAGCAATTCCGGTAGCACCTCTTGCAGAAAAATAAGATAACATAAGCCATTTGTACATACAGGTAAGAGGTAGGGGCCTATGAGGTAGTCGTTAACAATACCCACCCACACATTCACGGAGAAGCCGTTTGGAATGCATGTGGACGTGTGCCGTGTGGACAATGACAGAAATGAACTCAAAGAGGGTAATCTGTCTCTTCCAAGGCTTGGACTCTGTAAATGGTATGGGTGCAAACCATTTTCATGCAATACTCTCCAAATGGTGGAATGACTCAGCTGCAGAGGACGTGCAGAGCTCTTGTACTTGTCTGAGGTGATTCATGCACAATGTTCAAGATGGATTCTTCAGTGTGAAGTTGCTGTGTACTTCTTCTTCTACTCCTAGTGTCAGAGGTGGCTTCAAATGACCCATTTTCACACAGAGACCGATGCAACCTCTCGAACATTGTGTGCTTCGGCATACGCCTGTTCGGAAACCGTTCCTGGTACAACCGTAGTGCTGCTCTGCCGTTCCCATTAGCAGCACCATACATGATATGCATGTCAGCTTTTTCCCTGTGCGTAAACTCACCCATCACGCTTGACATCAGAGTTGCGAATGATCCTCTGATGCATCGAATTGTGGTTTGTCCGGCTCACTACTGCCCTCTATTGCTGCATTGCCAGCCAATCACAGCTGTAGCTCCTATTACTGTCAGTGTTTTCTTTTTTGAACATTTATTGTGAATACTGTATTGCTGCAAAGAAGCACTTTGCATTGATTTTGTACATAAACACATTTTCCTCTCGTGTCGTTTTTTTGCATTCCTGCCTTAATCCGTCACTTTAGACCCAACATTCCTATACAAAAATTGCATGTTTTAGTACGCTCCACCACCCCTCCAAGTTTGTCCCATGATCTATGAAATACCCTATATATATAGGGATATAGGGTTTTATGAAATCTTACTGATCTAATTATGTAAATTAATAAAGCAAAATTGTTTCTTCTAGGGAAAGAAGAGAATGATGCAAGTGAAATATCTTTTAAACCAAAAAGTTCAGAAAAATTTGGTCCTGGCTCTATACATCGCTCCAGTCCCTTCCTACTTGCAGAAATGAAGTCGAGGCAGGAGAAGAGGGTTAATGCGCATCATAGTTCACAGGTCTTGAAAATTTTTATATTTTTAGCAATCTAATATCCTTTTTGCTTTAATTCATGTGTTGCTTGACTTCATGTGTAATTCATTGCCTGTGTAGTAGAACCCTATTTATCTGAACTAATTAGAACACATCTATTTCAAACAACACTTCAACTCAAAAGAGTTAGTCTCAAAATGTGATTTTGCATTTTTTTCACTTTTCATTCAAGTCTGTTGCCATTGGGGAAAATGCAAGAATCTTTCAAATTTAATATGCCTGTTATTAACTAAGCTATTTTAAAAGCAGTAGATGCAGTTCTTAAGAAGAGTTTCTTTACTTTCGAATCTGTTTAAGTTAAATAAAAATGCATTTAAAATTGCATTGTGATATAGCTAATGAAAAACATTAAATATTTTTCACATTAATTCATTGCTTCACTTTTCTTTGGATCTTAAAAATATAGGTATTATTTGTTTAATCTCTCTGTTATTAATTAGCAAACTAAACTAATTAAAAGCAATACATGCAGTTATTAGAAATATTACTTTTTTACCTGTTAATCTGATTGATATAAATCAAAATGCATTTAATTCATGATTTATCTAACTAAACATTTAAGTATTTTTATAGAATTACATAACTTTTTTATATATATATATATATATATATATATATATATATATATATATATATATATATATATACGGAAAACTTTCCTCTTTTAGTCAAAATAAATTTTCATCTAATATCCTGCAAAATGCTTTACTACCTCACCTCGGCAACATCCGTTGATAATCTGTATTGATAAATCATATTAAACTCATATTAAAGAAGTCCTTTTGAGCAACCATTAAAATCTGAACTCTTTTTTTTTTTTTTTTTTTTTTTTTTTTTTTTTTTTTTTTGAGAGAGAGAGAGAGAGAAAGGTTAAGCTGTAGTTTATTCTTCTCCTACAGGAACAACTCTGAAATTGGCTCATTGTTACATAGAGAAATCCCATACTTAGTAAACTATCAATAAGCCTATTTTCAAATTAACAAGTTTTATACAGTGTCTCACAAAAGTGATGGGACACTTGTGCTTTACAAAAGGAAACTGTAATAAAATTAATTAAAAGAACATGTAAAAATTTTTTGTGGGTGTGTTTCATACTTAAATTTAGTAACAATTATTACATAACATACATTTTCTCATAATATTAAAATATTAATTTAATAAAAATACAATTGTTTAGAACAGAGCGAAAAAGGGCTCACATAAGTGATGGGACACCATTAGATACTACTACGTACTACAATAAAAATATTTTTTGGGTTTTTTATTTTTACTGAAAAGCAATTGGTAATAATTTATAAAATCGTCTGCAGTATTTCACTCCAGTTTGTTTTGGAATTTTTGTGTTTTTTAGCTCTGTGCAGCCATGAATGCTAAACGAAAAGAAACTTTGCCTGAAATTCGAAAATTAGTTATTAATTTGCATATTGAACATGGAAAATCTATTAGAGAAACTGCTTAAATGGTTAACTTGAGTCATGCAACAGTTTTCAATATCATTAAACGATATAAAAAGAATCATATGATTCAGGATAAAAGAAGACCTCTGGTCCGACCATCAAAGCTATCCAGTGGAATAAAGCGAATTATCGTTCGAAATATTAAAAAAAATCCAAGAATGAGTGCTCCTAAAGTTGCTGCTGATTTACAAGCATTATATGGAGTAATTGGTAATCATGAGACTATTAGAAGAGTAATTCGATCTGCTGGATATCACGGTAGAGCAGCCAGGAAAAAATTCTTCGTGTGAAAAGAATAGAAAACTCAGACTGGCTTTCGCAAAATCCAACATAAGTAAGAATTCTGATTACTGGAATGAAGTTATATTTGCTGATGAGAGTTAATTTAATATATTTAGTTCTAACGGTGGAATCTTGGTGTGGAGAAAACCCAGGGAAGAATTTCGCAAACAGTACTTGGTGCCAACAGTAAAACATGGTGGATGAGGTGTTATGGTATGGGGATGTATGTCGTCCGCTGGAGTTGGTAATCTTGTTTTTATTGACAATATAATGGATCCGTACAAGTATATTGACGTTTTAAATCAAAATTTGAAATTTTCAGATTTTTTCAGAAATTTGAATCAGCACGAAAATTGAACCTTCATAACGATTTTAAATTCTACCAGGACAATGACCTGAAGCCCACTGCTTTGAACGTTAGACTCTGGCTGTTGTATAACTGTCGTGAAATAATAAAAATACCACCACAATCTCCAGACTTAAATCCTATAGAGAATATTTGACAAGAATTGGAATCAAGAATTCGCAAGCACGCCATTTCTTCAAAACAACAATTAAAATCTGTGCTTCAAGAAGAATGGGGTAAAATCACTCCAGAAATCGCAAAAACATTAGTTGAATCCATCCCAAGAAGATTAAATCATGTTTTAAAAGTAAAAGGAAATCCAACAAAATATTAAAACCTTTTATAAAGTAAAATTTTTGGATAAATATTTGATGGAAAAGTAAGTGTCCCATCACTTATGTGAGCCATTTTTTTGCTCCGTTCTAAGCAATTGTATTTTTATTAAATTATTATTTTAATATTTGGAGAAAATGTATATTATGTAATAATTGTTACTAAATTTAAGTATGAAATACACCCACAAAAAATTTTTACACGTTTTTTTATTTATTTTACTACAGTTTCCTTTTGTAAAGCACAAGTGTGCCATCACTTTTGTGAGACACTGTATATATATAATATATATATATATATTATTTGCAATCTGTTTTTGTTAGCCTAAGAGGAATTTTATTTCACAGTTCAGATTCATGATTTCACAGAAGTTTAAATTGAACTGCATACATTTTCTGCTTTATATATAATTCAAAGATCTGCTTCTATGTCTTCATCAAGTAAGTCACAGATAGTATAAAGATTCATCCCACCTGTAAAAAGACACTTGTTTGAGAATGTTAAAATTGTGTTTTTTCCTTCTAACCTGACATCGGTTTTGCAAATAAGTTAAATAAATAAAGGACTGGCATAGATTTTGAATAAGATTCATAGTTTCACTTCTTTCATTTTAAATATTAGATTTACGTACAGCTTCCGAATAAGTCAATAAAAGTCTGAGTGTCTTAATTATTTACATGATTTTGATCACTTGCTATTAAAATAGGAATTGATAATAAAATATTGCTTTCATGAAAATGGGGAAATAAATATATCACTATAACATTAAATAATCAATAGTAGGTCCACTTACAGTTAGATCAATATGTAGTTGTCTTACTTACACTTTTAACTTACATAAAGTAATTAAATGGCTGAAATTATTAGCACATAATTTCGTTCCAAATATTAAAAGTCAACTACTAAAAATTTTCCATGGTTTCCTGTTCATGTGCAGAATGAGTGCAGATGATAAAATACCTTCTGTGAGTAGGACAACTTTTCAGATATTTGGTACTATTACATTTATTTCATTACATTTGGTGCTGAAAAGAGAAAAATTGACTGCTGTATATACATGTGTATGCTTTTTCCACTGTAGGTATTTGTATTTAAAATACTTTTTTAAATTGCAGTCTGTGTAACCTGAAAAGCTTTGATGATAATTTTCTTATTCAGAAACAAGTGATTCTATGGGCTTTGTATTTTTACTTCCTTATATGAAGTAAAGGAACTGTTGTAAACGAGAAAAGTTCCAGGTATCTTATTTCAACTAAAATACCCATTTTGACATTTGACCCATTTTATCTAATTCAATTTAATAATGTTTTTGCATATCATCAGTACTTAAGGACAGAATGCAGAACACTTTTTCTCCCCAAACGAATTATAAAATTGTTTTAAAATGGATTCAGAAGAGTTTTCTTTGTGATGTCTGTATGTATGTAGGTATCTCGCATAACTAAAAAATGGGTAGTCTCAAAACGTTGAAATTTTGTATATAGGACTGCTATAACATGTAGTTGTGCACCTCCCTTTTTGGTTGCAATCGGACACACCAAAAGTATATAAATATTTATATACCCATTCTGCTACTCAGCTGAGTGAGTTCAGTTTTCTTTTATTCTTATATGTTGGTAAGGCATTTTTTGCTTTTAAAACAATTGAATTATGTTATTCTTATCTTGCGGTTAAGGTTTTTGTTTGATATAAAATGCTGTGAGTTACGAGAGATAATTGGCGCTGGTTCCAAAATAAAACTAACTAAGTTAGGCCACACAAATATTTAATTATTTACATAATGTACAAGGTTACAAGTTAGGTGCTTCATTAGCACAGACAAAGTGGAACGAACGAACGCACCGTAGGTCCGCTGCGTACCTTCTTCAACAACCAACTCAACTAAATTTGGCTCCTCTCACAAGAGGGCGCTGATCCTAGAGGGCGCTATATTAAACCGAACATTCCGGCCCCCATTGAAACAAGTTTCAATAATGCCATAAAAGTTTTACAATCAAATTCAAATTTAGACACACATATAAAATACAATGAAATGCAATTTAACACTAATTATTTCAATTACAATTAAATTCAGTAGCATATAATAAGAAGATAAAAATATTATACTTGCAATACAAATGCATACAAATTATACACATACAAATTTTATACTTGCACTAAATGAATAATGTAATAATGTCCATTCATAATATAAAAATTTTATATCTGATAGTTGTTTGGTATGGGCAAAATACTTAATTTTGTGACAGGCCTTTTAAAAAGACCCTTTGCTGTGTGTACACTAACTACTCTAACTCTTTTATCCAATCCGGGTATAATTTCTTCAACTCGACCTAAAATCCAGTGACAAATGGGCAAAATGTCTTCCTTCACGAGCACCATAGTTCCTGATTTAACATTATCTTTTTTAAACTGCCATTTCATTCTCTCATGAAGTTGCTATAAATAATCCCGTTGCCACCTTTTCCAAATATTTTGAGTCATTTTGGTGACTCTTTCCCATCTCGACAATCTGTTGTCAGACTTATTTATAATTTCTGGTTCTACA